CTGCCCTGCCCTGCCCGGCTCTGCCCTGCGCGGCTCTGCCCGGCTGCCTGGCCCTGCCCTGCCCGGCACGGCTGCGCGGAGCAGCTCCCGCGCCAGCCGCGCTGCTGGGTGAGGCTCCTCTGCAGCGACACGGCTTTCAAACACGGACTTCCTGAGCTGCGGGCTGGGCGGTACACGCAGGGGGAACAACTTTCAGTTTTCTGGTTTAAGCGGCTCGTAAAAGTCTCCGCAGTACAAGCACAGACAGATTGCTCTTAATGTTCTAGCATAAAGGAAGGTCGTGAACTCCTGCCCTGCTGCTTTCTAACTCCCTGATAACTGCAGGCTGATAACTAAGTTGCTCAACTCCAAAATGGAGTTTACAGGAAAGTTTTCTGTACTGCACAAAATGAGTTCTGCGGCACTTCTGTCTTCCCCTGCTACATATTATCGTGTCCCTCAGCTTAGCTCTTTCACATGAATTGGGAGCTGGTGTCACACTTCTGGGTGTTGACAGGTTTGAAATCTGCAGTAAATCTATCCATCGCAGATTCCAGCAAGAAGGAAGGGAGTGAGAAAATTGTATGCTTGGAATGTATCCACTTAAACATGGAATTGTTCAGCTGTCTTTTGCATGGAGCAGCGCTGTCCCAAAAATAAAAAATATCAGAAGTCAGGAGAAAATTATAATAATTTCAGAACCTGACATGACTTCAGTATTTCACAAGTCTCATGCAAGATCAAAATAATCTTAAAGAGAATTTCTTCATGCTGGGAAGCAAATTCCTCCAGCAGACTTTTTTGTTCCTGCCAAGCCCTGAGCTGTCTCTGTGCCTTGTGACTGCGTTGCCAGCAGCAGTCACTCAGCACGTGGCCAGCACAGGGCACGGGTGGCTTCACAGTCAGAACAAGATGTTAGGAATAATGCACACAGAAAAAAAAGTTAGCTAAGTTAAAACGAGTTGTGATAAGGGAAAAATAACGAAGCACAACGAAAATTGTAAAGGAAGATATAAACAGATGTCAGAAGACGTGCACTTCTGAATCTGAACACACATAGCTTGATTAATGAAATCAAATTGCCTTAATTCACAGCGTACTGTTACAGTGCTGTTCTATAGTATAAAGCAATTTGTTCATCACTTCTGCCTGAAATCAGATTTCTGAGACTAAAATAGTATTTTTGAGGTAAGTAATAAAACAAATATTTTCATGTTCCTTTTCTTCTGCATGTTACCTTCACCTAACACTGACATTAACCCTTTAATTGCTCTTTTTCCTCTTCTCACCAGAGATGTGTTAGAAATCCCTCACCTCCCTTTCACATGCCACTGTTTGTTTCTGTCTAAGGAAGCATACAGGTGAGACAGAAATCCAGAGCACAAAGATGGGGTAGAACTGGGATGCCCTAGAGAGAATGTATTATGAATTGGAATAGCTTGGTCAACACAAGGAAATACTTGTAATTCTTAAAGGGGTTGACTTTTCCATGGTTATCTTCCACAATGCTGACAGATCTGGTTTCTCACATAACTGTCCAGAATATTCTTGCCAGTTTTTGTGTGCTCCTCCTCCCACAAAGCCTATCAACTCTTAAGTGTTCCTCTATGCTTACAATTAACCTTCATATAACAAATTAAGATCACAGAATGATTAGGGTTAGGAGGGACATTAAAGATTATGTCGTTTCAATCCCCAGAAGGTCAGCATTATATAAATCAAAAGTAATGTGTTTGCCACAGAACGCTAAAGAAATCATGGAATTTACAGCAAAACTTTTGATTTTGCAGTACCTGCTATTTTTTTGCAATTTGCATTGCAGTTGGCAGTCTGGAGAAACAGGGCATTACTGCTACACTTTTCTTCTACTAAGTCCATGCCTTCTTGGATTGTGACCCTTGGAGTGGGTTTCCTCCACTACTAAAACAGTTGATAAATATGACCAACACTGCCAGAACATCCACATCAGAATAAACCCTCAACAATTTGATCGGAATGTATGTAAATCAAGACCAGCACATGGTGTTGTATAAATGCATTGTAACTGAACAGGAACCTCATGACAGGAGCAAGTGATTCATTACTGTTGTGGTTTGGGCCTAACTGACAACAAAGAAGCACAGGACTGCTCACTCACCACCACGCCTCCCCCCACCCCTGGGATGGGGAGGACAAAAAACAACTAAAAAGTCATGGTTGAGACAAAGACAAGGTGGGTTCACTCACCAATTATGGTCACAGGCAAAACAGCCTCAACTTGGGGAAAATATCATTTTAATTTATCACTAATCAGATGCAAACAGGAAAAAGACAAAACAAAAGCCAGAGCTAAAAGACCTCACCCCACTTCTCCTTTCTTCCCAGGCCCAAATTACTTTATTTCTGAGGCCCAGGGGGACAAGGTTTAGAGTCAGTGCATCACATGTTGCTTCCTGCCTCTTCTTTCACCTCAGGGAGAAAGATTCCTCACAGCCTTCCCCTGCTTCCCCATGGGGTCCTTCCCAAGGGAGAGAGTTCTTCACAAATCTCTCCAACATGGTATCCCTCCAAGGAGGTTTAGTCCCTCAGGAGCAGACTCCTCCAGTGCAGGCTTCCCACAGAGTCACAGCCGCTTTGGGAACAGTCACCTTGCCTGGCGCAGGGTCCTCCACAGGCTGCAGGTCCACATCTGCTCCACTGTGCTCCTCCATGGGCAGCTCCACCGTGCTCCTCAATGGGCAGCCTCCCATCTCACCACGGGCTGCAGGGGAACATCTGCTCGGGCACCTCTTCCCCCTGCTTTTTCACTAACTCTGCTCCAGCACTGCTCTCACCCCTGCTCTCTACCTCTGCTCTCCTTGCTCTCACCTCTGCTCTCCTCCTCCCTCACTCATTTACTCTCAGGTTTCCACTTCTTTCCCATGTCAATTGCAGTGGTGCATCCACTGTCTCTGATGGCTGGGCCTTGGCCAGAAGCTTGGCTGCAGTTTTGGAGCCCAGGGAGCCTTCAATAACTTCTTATAGGGGCCCCACCTCCACTACCAAACCACACCAAAATCAAACCAGCATGATTACATATTTGACAATTCTATACTTTTAAAATGGGTGACTAGTGCTCAAACTCTATTATTACAGAGCATTTTCATAGGGCTAAAGCTTTTACACTGTTTCAAACATTCCACTGCTGGCACCTGCAACTTCTTTTACAAGTTCATACTCAAATGCTGACACCCTGGACAAAGTCATGTAAGAGATTCCTGGCTTCTTACATACAAAATAGATGCCTTGAAGTAGGTTAATTAAAACAAAAGAGAAGCTAATACAAGGCAGAGAATTAGGAAAGAAACGTGTATTTTCCCTCTCTCTTTCCAGCTGGCGATGTCACAAAAACTAGACTGTCTCTTGGTTTGAGCTAGATCTTTTGGAGGGTATTTGCACACACACAAAATCACACAGTTGGTGGCTAAACTGTCCATATTCTGCCTTATAAGAAGCAGTCTTAAATTTTTTTTGAAACAAACCCATATTGTTTTATTTCAAATTACTATATTACTTATGAATAATCTTTTAACTGAAAACAAATGAATTTTGCTTTTTAATATTTCTGCACCAAACCACAGCTTGGGAGCAGCTGAAGTGAAGAAAGCTTGGAAAAAAAGGAATGAGAAGAACCTCTTGAGGCAGATTTCAATTTGCCTCCCTCAGTAGATTTGGCTCGCAAATGCAGCTGCATGTATTTTCTCCTTTTTCATTTTTTTTTCTTCACTCCTAAAAATAAGGACTTTTTGCCAAACGATGAGTAAAAAAATATATACCTATTGCAAAAAGATTTTTCAAAATTATTCCTTTCTTTAATTTAATTAAAATGAGATTACAGTGTTTTTTTATCTGTGAGAAGGATCCTAAAACCACTTTTGATTGATACCTGTTGTTATACACAAAAGCATAAACAATTTACTGTTGCATTTTCCATAGGGCTTTTTCCTTGAAAACCCACAGGTGATCTTAAATCCAGGTTCAGAACTGCTTGGATGTTAAGATTTTTTTAATCCAACACAAATCTAAAATACAGAAACTCAGACTGTGAAATCATTATGAAATTGCAATGAAGAAATAGCTTCATTACCATGCCTCGACACATCTCCTTTTAATTAAAATAATTCTATTAAGAGAAACTATAGTATCGACATACTGTGTATTTACATTCTACTCCTACCCATTTCTCTGGCTTTACACATGCTGTCTTTTACAATTATATGCATATTGCATATCCTACTATTTCTTATCCTGTCAAAGTTGAAATATAGGACTCCTAAAAAATAATTAGAGAGAAAAGACCAAGATGATGGAGGCTTAATTTCTTTTGCTTTTAAATCCTCTTCTTTAAAAAAAATAAAAATCCTCTCAACTTCAGAATTCTGCATTCCTGATGTAAAAAAAAAAATAAAATTGAATAAAAAGAAGTATGAATGTCAGACCTATGTGGGATGAAAGTAAATTTAGAACTGTAAGTCAGGCTAAAAGGGATGAGTCTTGTAACAAGGACAATTTACAGTGCAAGATAAGCCAGAGAAACTGTCTATGGATAGTTGACAAAAATAAGTGCCTTCGTTTTTAATGCAAATTTGATCCTTGAGCAATAGGTTTTGAAGCAAACATGGTACTACAGCAGCATATTAAAGAAATTATTCTCCCAGTTCAGGTAAGAGACATATTCAAGTTTAGAGTCTTTAAAAAAATAAAGTAATTTGTATGACTTACTTTGTTTTAAATCTCAGTTACTATTAGTACAGTTTCCTATTGAAAAAGTATTTTCCATGTGCCAAATACTGGTCAGAAACTACTTTGCTACCCTCACATATTTAATATGATTTATAATCCTGTTTTATCACTTTTTACAATAATTTTTAATCTAGTAAGGGAATTATTGCTTTGTTCATTGGGACATCTTTTGGGGGCAAGGAGGTGGACAGAGCAATTATTCTGATTTCTTTGAGACATAAATAGGGAAATGTATATCTAGGAAAACACATGGACTTCCCCTTGGGAGTACTGGGGGGATTGGCAAAGTGCATGTCCTCCTTTGCCAAATTAGTCACTTGTGCATGTGGGAAGAAAGCTAGAACTTTTCCCTCTGGAAATGGATTACTAGTGGTGTTAGAGCTGTGTAGAAGGCAAATTTTGCTTCATGCCTGAAGAATCCTGATCACAAGAGAGGCCTGTGAAGTAAGCCGCAGGTGTTAATTGGCCACATATCTCTGCTAGTGCAGAAAGAGAAATAAAAGCTCTACAGACTGATTCCTTTTTTGTGGGAGTGAGGATCTGCATCTGGGAAAGAGCTGAGGCAAACCCAGTGTTTCTCACCAGTGTTTCAGGGCCATGGGCTCCTCATAGTCTCAACCTGTAAGCTACAATGTCAGAGAGTTTATAAGCCTAGTGAAGAGACAAGGTTAGAATTTCACCTTACAGTCTATTCTCCTTTGAAGAGACACTGACTCTTTGCAATAATTTCTTCTTATTATCCTGAAAAGATCTAGGCTCCAAAGCAGAGGCCTTTTTACCAACAGATTCCAAAGCCATCTTGTCAGTAACCCTCTGAAATTTGAGCAAAGATCATCTGTTGTGCTTTTAAAGAATTCACTCAGTTCTAATAGAAACTGGCTGATCTGACCCTTTATCTGAACTGTTTTGTGATAAAATGCAATGACTTCTTCTGCAAATAGAGTATCTTTAATGTGACTTTGATCTTTTCAGTTAGCTTTTCCAGTGTTTGCCACTGTCTGATATAGAGAACACTTTCGTTCCTTATACTTGTCCAGTACCTTTTTTATTATCATTTGTAAGCTACATAAACAGGTGAACCAACACAGTAACTATGAGAGAAAAGTTTTTAATTAATTTATTTTTAAAAAAACAAAACAATTATAACGTCTATGGACAAAAGGGGGTAAAAAGTAATTGTTTTTAAATTCAATAACAATAGCAACAAAATAGTCATTATTATTAAAGTAGCAATTAAAGAAAAGTAACATGAAGGATTTTATACTAATTTCAATTATGCTAGATTTAAAAAAAAAAAAAAGTTATCCCTTTGAAAAGTTATCTCTTTGAATGATGTTGGCTTTACTTGGCTTTGCCCTAGCAAAAGGATTCTATGAGATACTCAAAATATTGAAAATACTTCTCCATTTTCAACAACACTCTTTTACTACATCATGTTCTCCAAAATATTAGAGTTCTTTGCTTTCAAAACCCATTTGTGGAAACTGACTTGAAGGAAGACATCAGTTTTCGCTTTAGACAGGTATTCTCTTCTGAGATGCATGGAGGCACCCATTTGCCAACATGACCCACTCTTTAGGGAGATCTGCTGCTTCCCAAGGGCTTGTATCAAGGAGGTCAAAGAAAGACTACCAAACCTTGTATGTCCCACTATTATCAGCTCCTGCTGTTTCACATAGGCACCAGTGATAAATCCAAGAGCAAGCCAAAAAACATAAAAAAGGATTACAGAGCCCTGGGAGCAGCAGTGAAGGACTCCGGAGCACAGACAGTCTTATCATCCATCCTCCTGGACAAAGAGAAGGGGCTTGAAAGGGCAAATTGTATTGGGAAAATCAATAAATGGTTACAGGAGTGGTGCCACATCCAGGGATTTGGCGTCTTAGACCATGGAACATTTGCCAATTTAGTAAAGAGGGCTTGAAACTAGAGTTGCTGGGGGAGGGAATCCTCAATGCATCCCACTACCATCACCCTGAGGCCAGTGGCAGTAATAAATGCCCTGTAGAAGGATCACATGGCAGCAGGAGAACATCTGACATGAAGGAGAACATAATCCCAGCCAGGAAGGCAGCTTCAGTGGGGACCCAATTTATATGCCTTCATGGAAATGCACATAGCATGGGAAACAAACAAGAGGATTTACAGATGTACATTCCTGCAGGGCTATGATGTTATTGGCATCACTGAGATGTAGTGGGATGACTCCTACAACTGAAAAAGGAAAATGGATGGGTACAAGCTCTTTAGGAAGGACAGGCAGGAGAGGAGTGGGTGTCACCCTCTATATTAATGATCAGCTGGATTCCATGGAGCTCTGACTGGGAATGCAAGAGGAGCTGATTGAGACAGTTTTATTTATTAGTCAAAGGCTTTGTCCTGGATGAAAAACACATCTAGAATACAGGTTTCAAGCAGAACTTTGCAACTTTCTGTAGGACTTTATTGAATGTACACCATATCACATTTTTCTCAGTAACTGTAATCAAACATAAACATAGCTAAAGAAGTTTACAATGATAATTGATTTCTACTTCAAATAACACAAGCTCCTTAAAAGACCAACATTCCAAATAATCTGTATTGTGTATTTCAAATTACACGTCTGATTTACAATAATGTCAAGATCTTAGATGCAGTAATTACATGCTGGCAGCTCCACTATGACTATCAAGATGAACTATAAAAAGAGAGTTCTTATTTTGCACAAATGTTTGCAAGGCAAAGCAGCTATATTTGGAAGGGCATATAAATTCTGCTGTTCCATAGGAATTTAGGGGTTGAGGAGTCTTCTGCCTGATAATTTGATATCTGCCTGATATAGGAAGTATTTTCATCAGTCCTGCTCGTGAAAGGGAAGGGGATATAGATAGGGCCAATGGCGTCCAACAAATCAACGACTGGCTACGTGACTGGTGCTACGTCCAGGGGTTTGGCTATCTGGATCATGGAACCAGATATGACAAAC